CGTGGGCCCCTGGGAGAGCCCCGGGGAGAGCCTGGGTTAGAGGGTCAAGCTCACGTCGGAGCCACCGCTGCTGCCTTGGGAAGGGCCCACGTCCTGTCTGCCGGATCGGAGCTGCGGGCTACAGGATGAGGGTCTCAGGCACCGCGGGCTGCGGCAGGGCCCCCTGGGCCCGCTTCACATGGCACCGCCTGACTATGCGTGCGCCGTGTACGTTTCTGCTGGAAAAACAGCGGCAGCCCGTGACCTTTTCGTGAGCAGAACGCTTTAAGATTTCGACTGTGGGTCTTGGCAGTTTGTGCAGGAGGACAGCTCGTCCGCAGAAAGAACTGATAATAACGTGCATTTCCACAAGCCTGGGAAGGACCTGAGGCGGGGAACCAGCCGGGGGTGGCGGGGGCAGTGGGCTCTGACTGGTAGGGCTGGGGCTGCGGTCTGATCCGCTCGAGGACCACTCCAGAGATAAAAGGCTCCGACGGTGCTCTCGGCAGGAATGTTCACCCCCTCCCGGGAGAACAAGCGGCAGTCAGGAAAACACACTCAGTCGTTTGAAGGTCACGGAGTGCTTCTGTGCTCTACGCAGCGAGCAAGAAGGCTGGAGAACGCCGGTCCTTGTCCGGGCGCTCTCCCCCTCCCTCCGCACCATGGGCATCACGGCCGGCCACTCTGTCGGGGCTGAGCAGAGACCCTGGCCCCTAGTCCCTCGATGCTACACCCCTAGTATGACAACCACAGGTGGCCCCGGACACGGCCCAGTGTCCCCTGGGGACAAGACGGCCCCCAATGAAGAATCAGAGATTTAACCTAACACGTGCAAAATATCATTTTCGCTGCGGCCCATTTCAGGTGCTCAGCGGCTGCCGGTATTCGTGCCGGTGGTTCATGCCTACCTACCATGCTGGAAACTGCAGCTCAAAGACAATGTCACATCCAAAGGAAAGCTAGCGCCACAGTGGCCTGGTGAGCCCAGGTGACACCCAGGGTGAAAGTCCAGAGCCCTCAGGGCACAGGGGGCCTGAGCCGCGGTCCCTGGCAGCGGCAGCCTGAAGGAATTGAAGGAACGCTGGGTGCCTCTTCAGGAGGCCTCGGCTGCGGTCTCAGCCCCCAGAGCTCCGAGGCTGTGGGAGGGCCAGCGGCTGGGAACCCGATAAGGACAGTGTGAGAGAGATCATTAAGATAGCATCCTCGTTCTGCCCCCAGGAGATCCTGGGCCACGTCTAGGGACATCTGTGGTCATTACACGGGGGGGCTCCTGGCATCGAGGGGGTGGGGCCAGAGATGCTGCTCAGCCCTCACAGAGCCCCGGACGCCCCCAGAGAGTGACCCGCCTGACCTTAGCGGTGCTGGGGCGGGGGGAAGCCCACAACGGGTCTCCAGTTCTTGCTAGCAGGTCAGCTCTGTGGAACCAAGGGTTTTCCCCATGTGGCCACTGCCGTTTCTCCATGGCCAGGCCCAGGCACACACTCGGAAATCCCTGCTAAGGGAAGGGCTACCCTGTGCCCCGGACGTAACCACCCCAGAGACCGCACTAGAAGGTGTGACACAGGCCAGATTCCACACCTGGGAGGCCCGAGGCAGCTTCTGAGGGTTTGTGCCCTTTAGGTGAGTCCCAAAGGAAGGGACTGTACCGGGCCAGAGGCACCAGCCACTGCTCCACATCATGGAGGGGGGAACATTCCAGAAGCCAGACTCGGTCCCTGAGGTGGGGGTTGCGGCAGCCAGGCTGCCCACCCCCAATCCTGTGCCTTTGCTTCTGTGCTATGGCCTCTGCTCTGGCCACTGGGCCATGCCCGGGTCGAGTGGGTTTCGGGGTGCAGGTGTGCCGGTACCCTGAGCCCCCAAGGTCACAGGCCAGTGCTTCCTTCTCCCTCCTTAACCCGGTGAAAGGGGCCAGCTGGGGCCTGGGTCCACGGAGGCTCTGGATCTGTAAGGGGAATGGGGGCGGGGGGACAGAGTGACCCTGGAACTCTCGGTGCTGGCATGTCCTGGAGAACAGGGACAGGGTAGTCACAGAGCTCCAACAAGGGTGGGGGAGAGCTGGAAATACCACACCTGCGCCCACAAAGGCTGGAGGCCCAACGGGGGCAGACCCCGTGGACCTTCTCTGCCCCCTTGTGGTCGCCAGCGGGAACTGCAGCATCCTGTGGGGCGGGCAGAGGGGGGACCCCTGAGCCCCAAGCCGCCAGAGCAAACACCCCAAACTCCCGGTCGTCCTTGAGCTCTGACATCTGTTGGAGGGCTGGTTCTGCCGTCAAGACAGGTGGCGGGGCCCCTGCTCGGCGACACCCCGGCTGCTCAGGTGGTAAACCCTGGCCAGGGTCTCGCGTGTCTGTGCACCTGCAGGTGAGCAGACTGTGTTCAACGAGTGAGTACCAAATTAGCACGTAACCAGGGAAAGCCCGGCAGCCCCCTGGAGGGGGCAGGCTCACCGTTGTGACAGAGAGCTCCCCGCGGGACCTGCCCACGGAGCACCTGCTCACCACACCACTCCACGCCCCTCTGCACGCTGCCCCGCGTCCCCCTGGGGCAGGGGGCAGGCTCACCAGTCTGTCTGCTTCAAAGATTTAAGCATAAAAGATGCAATCCGCACAAAGTGCAGGTTAATTGCTCTTTGTCATCTTGAAATTTGGGGGCACGCCAAAGACAACACATTCCCTACGAGAACGCCCACGGTGAGTAGAGGGAACAGCACGCTCCGAAAAACATTCGCGGCCTACGTGACGGACACCAGACGGCATCCAAACGGAGAAAGACAGGAAGTTCCGACACACATGTCAGAAGAGTTCAAACACGTCGATGAGACAGAGGCCCCGCTGGGAAGGTCAGTAAAGAGCACAGCCAGGCCGCGCACAGAACACACAGCTCAGGGGAGAAACTGAAGCCCGAATGACCCGGACTCGGCAGCCCTGAGGCGGCCTGGCTGCTCCCCGGGGACGGTGCGTTCCTGGAGGGCACTGGGGCTGTCGGACAGGCGACGAGGACACCCGGACTCTCTGTCTCTCTCTCACACGCACGGCAAGCACACACGTGAGCATTTACCCCAAACGACAACCAGCCAAGGGTGTATTAAGTTTGCACAGAGACAGTCATCCCGGAATATGAAAGAAAGAAAGAGAGAAAGAGAAAAGAAAAACAGGAAAACACCCCCCCAACCCACCCAGAGACTAATTAAATCAGTTATAAAATTATTTTAAAAGAAATGTGGCACAGGGGCGCCTGGGTGGCTCAGTCAGCTAAGCGTCCGACTCTTGGTTTCTTCTCAGGTCATGATCTCACGGTTCGTGGGTTTGAGCCCCGCGTCGGGCTCTGCGCTGACAGTGTGGAACCTGCTCGGGATTCTCTGTCTCCCTCTCTCTCTGCCCCTCCCCACTCCCACTGTCTCTGTATCTCTGAAATAAATAAATAAGCTTTCAAAGAAAAAAAAGAAACGTGTTACAATTCGCCTAGAATATGGGATGCTAAGCCAGCGTCTGGAAAGATGACGGAAACACAGGTTTCCTGTCGAGGAAAGACGCCCCTCAAGCAGAACCAGCACGTTACAGAGTAAATCCTTTGGCTCTAAAATCACGCGTGTGGATGTAACTCCCGGAGATCCGGGCAGAACGCGCCCCAAGACAACAGCACGGCCGGCGCTGGGCAGGGCCTTTAGGAAACTCTGCGGCCCCTTTGTGTGCGTTTACACTTCTTCTTCTTTTTTTTTTTTAACGTTTATTTATTTTTGAGACAGAGAGAGACAGAGCATGAATGGGGGCGGGGCAGAGAGAGAGGGAGACACAGAATGGGAAGCAGGCTCCAGGCTCTGAGCCATCAGCCCAGAGCCCGACGCAGGGCTCGAACTCACGGACCGCGAGATCGTGACCTGAGCTGAAGTCGGACGCTTAACCGGCTGAGCCACCCAGGCGCCCCTACACTTCTTTAACAGGACAGCGGTCTGCCTCCAGCTGGCCAGCTGCCCTGTGAGCCGGCCTTCACACGGGAAATCTGTGTGGGTCCCACCGGGCGCCCACACGTCACGCCCACCCCAGGGCTCCTGTTTCGGCTCTTGGTCTCTGTCCTCTCTCCTGAGCTGAGCCCATGACCACTGCGAGCTTACTGAGGGGCACCTCACAGGCCAGAAAGCTCACCGGGTGGAAACATGGTTGGAGGAGTCGGCAGCGAGGGTGCCAGGGCGTGAAATCACCCCCCACACAGTCTTCCTGGCACACATCCACAGAGTCCCCGTTCCCTCCCCAGCCCCTGGCGGCCACCAAGCACCTTCCCGTCCCTGCAGACCAGCCTTTGCTAGAAACTTCCCCGAGACGGACCCACAGCACGTGCGTCTTCTGGGGTTGCCTCCTTCTGACGTTTTTTCTTTTAGACTCAGGTGCAGACACACAGCTTGGGAATATCCAACATCACAGAGACATCCGATCTCCCTCAAATTTACCGATAAATCAAACACAACCCGAATCAAAATTCCCTCGGCATTTCGGTTGGAAGCCAGAGGTTGACTCTAAGTGAAGATCACAGATCACACGAAAGAGAAAACCGCTGGAGGGTGGTGGAGACCTCCGCGGGCAGGTGCAAGGGGAGACACGTGGGGCTACCGCAGGCCGAGCCGCCTTGCCCAGCTCACCTTCACGCCGTCCCTCCTCCCACACGACAGAAGCCACCCAACACCCTCTGGAAATGAGACCAGATGGACAGACGGCCGAAGTCAAGAGAGCAGGATCTCAGCCTTGTTTGTCTCTACGGCTACCTTGGTAAAAAGAGCGCCTCTGAGGCCACGTAGTGCCTCCCAGCCGCCAGGACGGGCGCCAGCTTTGAGATAACGTCTGTCACATCCAGTGACTCAGCTCTGGTCCTGCCAGTGGCCACCCTGCACGCCCCGCTGAAGCCTTTTGGGTGAGGCGCCCGCCTCCACAGCAAGCCACCACCCCCCCTCAGCCCGGCCCAGAATGGCCAGCCATTCAACGTCCCCTTGAACTCTGACGGTCGAGTAGGAGACACATCACGGCACTGACCTGTGCACGAGGCTTAGCTGTCCTCAGCGCCGAGGCTCAGGAACCCGATGTCCGCTCCCTGGAAGAAAAACGGAACAGTTCAGTGGAGCACCATTTGGCCAGAAACACGTGTTCGGCAGCGGCAGTGAGGAAGGGTCTGGAGCTCACGGTCAGAGCGTCATGAAGGCCTGCCTTCGGCTGCTCCCCCAGACTCAGGACCTCCCGGTGCAGAAGTGGAACTTGACGTACTTTACCAGAAAGGTCTGTTAGAAATTTGCAAGGTCGTCCCTACTAAATTCTCCAAATGCTCCCAAACTAAACAGGAAAGGATTGGATGCTCACGTGACCTTTCATGCCTTATCAGGATGTTCTCCTACATGACTTGACTCTCAGAGTCCCCTGTGAGGAAAAGGTGGAAACTGAGTCAACCCCCTGCCCCAGGGCACCCACCAGGTCACCGGGGTCTGCCTGCCGAGATGTGAGGACCAAATGCAAGGTGGGATCCAGGATGGGGTCCCGGGGCAGGACAAGGACCACAGGGGCAAACTGGTGAAATCTGAATAAAGAGTGGGGCTGAGGGGCACCTGGGTGGCTCAGTCGGTTGGGCGTCCGACTTCAGCTCAGGTCACGATCTCGCGGTCCGTGAGTTCAAGCCCCGCATCGGGCTCTGGGCTGATGGCTCGGAGCCTGGAGCCTGCTTCCGATTCTGTGTCTCCCTCTCTCTCTGCCCCTCCCCCGTTCATGCTCTGTCTCTCTCTGTCCCAAAAATAAATAAATGTTAAAAAAAAAAAAAAAAGAGTGGGGCTGGGTTCATGGACGTGCACGGTCGTCACAAATGCACTGTGGTTCTGGGAGGTACGGCCACAGGGAAGGCTGAGTGAAGGGCAGACAGGAAGCCTATCTTTTAATCAAATTTTTCTTCATTTTTATTTTAGAGAGAGAGAGAGTGGGAAAGAGGAACAGAGACAGAGAGAGAGAGAGAATCCCTAGCAGGCTCTATGCTCCCCACAGCTTGATCCCACCGTCCTGGGATCATGATCTGAACTGAAATCAAGAACACATTCAACTGACTGACAGCCACTCAGGTGCCCCAGACAGGAACTCTGTTTGAAATTCTCCTGAAAATCTAAAATTATTTTAAAATTGAAAACTTATTTTTAAAAAACCCAAAAACTCAAAAGATGCCAGCTCCCTTTTCTCAGAGTTCAGGGCCATTGTGTTGTCAACCTGGGGCCAGGATGGAGAAGCGAAGTCCCCACCATCACCTGCAGGTGGCGCCGCTGCCTCAGTAACGCCCCAGACGCGGCTGGGGAGCTGCTGGAGCGCCCCGCAGAGGCCAGAGGGCGCCTCGCTGCTGGGGGCGGCGGGTGGTGAGAAACAAGGGCCCGTCCAATATGCGCCCCCTACCCGCCCTGGAGAACTCCCTTCACTCACTTCAGCCTTGTAGGGGACGTCCGCACATACGATCATTCAAGTTTTTATTTCTGACTCAATTAAAGACTCACGAGAAGGTGCAAAAACCGTGCACAGGGGTCCTGGGCACCTTGCACCCAGCTCCAACTGTGCTGGCTCCCTGCACAACCAGGGGCCGTTGTCCAAACCAGGAAACTGACCCATCACTAGGCATTGTTTTCTAAGGCCTTCTTACCGAGACACGGTCCTCAGGCCACACAGTTAATTCACACACAACACACAGTTCGGGGCTTTTTACTATTTTCACACTTGTGCAACCATCGCCACAAACAATTTTAGGACTTTTTCATCACCCCTGAAGGAAGCCCCATCCCCATCAGCCATCACCCCTCCCCAGCACCCCCGGCCCCCACGAGCCCCCTCCCTGTCCCTGGATGAGCCTGTTCTGGGCGTTTCACACACGTGGACTCACACCCCGTGTGGCCTCTCGTGTCTGGTTCCCTCCCTGAGCGTCGTGTGTTCAGGATCCGTCCGCAGGGCGGCGGGGGTGGGCGCCTCGCTGCTGTTCACGGCCAATCATGTGCCCGTGCGTGGACGGACACACTGCGTGTACCCCTTTGCTGCTGATGGGCACTTGGGTGTTTCCACCTCCTGGTTGCTGCTGCTATGAATCGTGCTGCTGTGGACATGGGGTCACGACTCCCTTTAAAGATGGTTTCTCACCTCTGCCTTCACACGTGCCAACCGCAAATCTCCCCGTCCCTAGCCCTTCAACACCAGCCGCTGGCTGTCCTCCAGCCCTGGGACCTGAACTTGAGCACTGAGGCGACCCCCGCAGACAACCAGACCAGCTCGTCTGCGGCCCACGAGACAGGCTGTGAGTGGCACCAGCTGGCGCCTGCCCGTCCCCGTGACCTTCACCCAGGCAAAAATGCTGGGCTTTCACTTTCCCCATCAGGGGGACCCACAGGCCATCCTGAAGGACCAGCCGTGGGATGAAGAGGTGGCACCCTGGTACCCCGGGGCCTGCCGACCCCACACGGACCCGCCGGAGGCACTGCCGGGAAGCACAGTCACAGACACCAACAAAGGAAACGCTGGTGGGAAGGGCCACGTGCCGAGGGGGCCGTAAACCACGCTGGAAACAGACACCATTCGTGACTGCGGCCACTGGGGTGCCTGCATGGGAAGGACTCTCACCTACATTTATCCTGGGCCACAGTTCTTACAACCTGGGACCCCCATCTTGTCCACGTGCTTCCTTTTTCTCTTCATTTCCTTTAAATTGAGATGTGATCCACCCATCATAAAAGCCACCCTTTGGGGGTGTCCAATTCAGCGGCTTTTAGGATATCTGCGAGGTTGTACGAACGCTGGGCTAATTGCAGGACGTGGTCGTTACCCCCTGAAGAGACCCCGCGCCCGCCAGCATTGCTAGGATCGTGTGTCCTGGGAGAAGGGAGACCCCGGAGTGCCTGGGCCGCGGTTTACCGCAGGCCGCGCACTCGGCATGTGCTCAGTAACCACTGGGGTTTCCTGTCCCGGTTGGTGCTACGGGAAAGCCTGCGGAGCCCAGAGGACCCAGGGGAGACCAGGCCGCCCCCGCAGAGCTGCTCCCTGTGGGCCGGTTCCAGCCTGAACCTCGCCTGTGAAACGGAACGGGCAGGAACCCCGCTGCACACCTACGGGACGGGCCCAGGGGCTCAGGGAGACCCTGTTCTCAGCCGCTGCTGGCAGCTGCGTTATTTATCAACGTGATAAAGGAAGACAAAACCCGCGGATCGCAAACCAAAGGCGCGCTGGGTCTTCCGCCATTAATTTCCCAGTGGGGTGGTTTCTATTTCCCTCGTAATTCTGGAGGGGCTCCACAGATCTGCAGCCTAGTATCTCCGCACGGTGAGCTGGAACATGGGCAAGGGGACCCTTAGCTCCCACACCTGGAGACCCCAAACTACCAGAAACAGGGCCGTGAAACTACGCGTTAGGGAAGACGACAGGTCGACTTCTACTTGAGAGTCTGTGCCCAGCGGGACACACTAGCTCGGGAGCTGCTGCCATGTCCAAGCGCCCCATGTCCTCCTGGGAAGCAAACCCCTTTTCGGGCAGGACCCTGTTACCGACCTCCTGGGCCGGGGGAGGGGCGAGGCAAAGACTGAACCCGAATGTCAACGAGGACTTTGGTCAACGGTCACGTATTAATATTGGCCCATCGACTGCAACAAATGTGCCCCACTACGGCAAGATGGTGACAACGGGGGAAATGTGGAGGGGGCAGGGGGTACGTGGGAGCTCTATTTTCTGCATTTTTCCATCACCTAACACTACTCTAAAAAGCAGTCTATTAAGAGAAGATCTTGAAGAGACAAATTAGGAGAATTCTGAATTTAGAAAGGAGGAGGGAGGAGGGAGGAGGGAGGGGGAAGGGGGAGGGGGGGAAGGGGAGAGGGGAGAGGGAGCCTGTCTTAGACCAGATGATCGCAAAGTGCTCACATTCACCAGTGATTGCTTCAACGAGCTGTTATGAACCAGACCCACAGAGAAGCTGGGTCAGTCTTGGCCAAATGCATTGCCTACTTCCCGCCCCCCCCCCGCCCCGGAAGCCTCTGCAAGTAATGTAACAATATGATACCGCAAGGATCAGACTCTCCTGACTGCTCAGGCCGGGGGGAAAAACCTACACCAGAGCCATCCTCCCCGCCGCCCCCCCCCCCACCCCGGCCCCAGCCCAGGGACCACAGCAGCCCCATGAGTGGATCAGACAAGAGCCCTAATACAATCAGTCCCAAACCGCCTCTCTCAGATTACTCCCAGATCCCATTTGGCCAACGGAAAGCATATTGTGGCCGAGGATAAGCGGATTTCTGCAAGACGGCACCGAGCGGCACACTACCCCTTCGCTGTCCGTGGTCCCCACGGGGCTCGGAGCGGCTCGCTGTGACACGGCAGCGGAGACCTGAGACTCCTGCCCTCAGCACTGACTGGCCTGACGTCTCCACCTACACCTCTGGCAGCCGTTACCTTTTTCTAATGGTGAGCACTGAACCGCACTGGAGTTTCACTGGAGTTTTCGTTTTCTTGGCTTCCCAATGTCTATCGACCTGATAATCTGGGGAGACACAAGAGCCCAACGGGGCCCAGGAGATTCAGCAGAACAACAGGGGTGAGAAAAGGAAGCCTTCGGAATTTCGCGAATTACCACAGCGTAAATGCCAGCGCCTCCTTTCTGAAACGGAAGGAAGCCCCTGCCTGTATCCCCTTCCCTGCGAAGCAGGTCTCTCCCTCCACCCCCAGCACCCTGACTGTCTGTGGGGGCCATCTTGGGCGTTGTGGGGCATTGAGCATCACCCCTCAACCCCACCCATGCGATGCCAAGGGCACCCCAGTCGCGATGACCACAAACATTCCCCCCCCTCCAGCGGGGACCCAGCACTCGGCAACAGGCAGATCTTCCCTGCCTGGGCCACAGTTCGCGTCTCCGTCTCCGGGAATGGAGAGGGTGGGACCGTGGCGTTGGAGCCCCCTAGCTCCCCACACTGATGCCCACCCCACGCGGGCAGCAGGAGTGCGGGCCTCCAGGGAGGCTCCAGATAGCAATGCAGCCGCTGTCCTTCATGCACTCGTTGCCACAATCACCCCAGCCTTCCCCCGTCACCACAGCAACCATCT